TATGCCTCATGGAGAGCTGAGAGACACCTGTGTTCTGAAGCCTGGCACCACCTGGATGTGCCGGAAATGGGTACTAAGAACTGGGAGGGCTGGTACCGAGCTGATCCCACCATCTCTGCCTTGTGGCCATGTGGGTAAACGAGTTTGTGAATGAATGCTTGAATACAGGAGGAAGATAGTCCTGCGTTTAAGGTCTCCCTAGATGGAGGCCCAAGCCTTTTATTTTTGGGTCCCGGGAATTGAGCTCAGGACCTTGTGCTTGCCAGGCAGGTGTAACATCACTGAGCTACATCTGGCCCCGAGACCTCAAGTCTCGTGAATGATTCATCACCCTTTTCATGAAAGGGTGCTCTTGTTAAATCAAAATGCCCCCTATTTAAAAAAAAAAAAAAAAGTTTACTCTGGTCCTTGGGTTATTTCTGGCTGCAGTGACTCAGGCTGAACTTTGAACTAGTCGTGTTCCCCAGGCCACACTCACACCGAGGGACAGCTGGCCAGGCCAGGGCGGGAGCGCACATGATCCTGAGGTCACTGGGGCCCCTGACAGGGAGGGGCAGGAAAGCCGGCAGGATTCTGTTTTCTGGGACTGCCTGGGAGGGCTGGGGAGGAGGCTGGTGCTGCTGCATGGTGAGTTGAGGGTGCACTCTGCTGCTGGCTTTAATCTGACAGCAGAGGAGCCCCTGGCCGCCCCTAGGGATGTGATCTTGGGGGCATCGGGGAAGGAGTTGGCCCTCTCAGGCTTGGCAGGGCAGAGGAGGAGGGAAGTCACGGTCGCTGTGACTGTGAGGCTCACAGCACTGGAGACTCATGGCACTGTCCCCATTCCTCAGGTGAGGGACAGGCTCCAGAGTCCCCCACAGCTGTGCTGAGGTCACTGAGCAGGTGTGGTATCAGTTCAGATTTGTTCCCGGGTTGGGACAGCTCAGTTACTCAGGGTCCTACCTCTGTCTGGCTGGAGCCCACATGGTGGTGTCTGACTTGCTCCGGCCCAGATCCCTGCCTAACCCTTCCACGTGGCCCCAGGACGCAGATTCCTGAGGGCTTGTTCGGGCTTGCAGGGCGCCTCCGCCTGCTTCTTCCCCAGAACACTAGGGCTTTGTGTGTGCGCATGTTAGATTTTTTTTTTTTTTAGACAAGTTCTCCTTAGGTTGCTAAATTGTCCAGCCTGGGCTTGAATTAGGATCCTTCTGCCTCAGCCTCCTGGAGTACTGTGATTGCAGGTCTGTGCCACTGCACCTGGCTAGTAGCCGGCATCTTTAGCTCTAAGTAACCCCAAGAATGGGCCTCACCATTTCACAGAGGATTGGGAGTGGCCTCAGGGTCGAAGCTCGTGGGAAGCAGGCCTGGACTGAGCCTAGATATTTCCCAACTCTACTTTGCTGTCCTTTGGCTAGGGGAAGGGTAGGGTGAGGAATGTGGCTGTGGTTCCCTTGGGTGTGGTGGAGTGGGTTGCAGCACCTCTGTCCTGGGGCAGGAGGGATCGTGTGGGTCCCACATGCTTACCCTCCCTTTGGGATCTTTCTTGTCCTCCTACCTCTCCCTTACCTAAACCCTGAAGGCCCTGCCCACCCTCCTGCACACCTGCGCTTTCTCGGCTTCCCAAACCTCCTTGAGTCAGAGGTTACCTCCCCTGAGAGGCCTTCCTGAAGCAGCCCGTGGTCTCCCCTTAGTTACTCATAATCACCTTGTATGATCTGCATGTTTATTTCCTGGCCGTGTGACCGTCTCCCCCTTCTCCCCCGCCATGCCTCTGGGGTCTGCACTGCACCAGAGACACAGCAGGTGCTGGGCGGACCTTGTAGAGTGAATGCAGGGCCCCTGCATGTGGTCCCTGGCCTGTGTCCTTCCAGGCCACCAGGGCTGGGCCTTTGAGCCCTAGACTCCTCCTGGGGAAGAAAAAAGTGGCTCCAGACTCTCCCAGCCTGGCCCCTTTGTCGTCCTGTTGGGCAAAAACTTACTGAAACCAACATCACCCTGAGACTGTTACCGGGTTTTGGGGCACTGGAGTCTTCTAGAGGCTCTTTCTGTCTCGAGCAAAGGACAAGTGCAAAAGATAGCGAGGTTTTACATTGTATTACAGGTAGGGAAGGGAAAGAGCTCTGCAGAGTGAGTCTGGGCCAGGTAAAAGTAGGTAAATAAGTGTAGTCTGCAGGACGAGAGCAGGAGGCCAGGAGGGGACACAGCGGCAGATGATGGCTCAGGGGCAGCTGTCCTTTGGTATTTCCCCTCCTCGGGCTGAGGTCAGGTCTGGGCCGTCCTATCTATCAGTTCTTGAGAGAAGTCCATGGGCAGTGCTTTGGGACCTGTTCTGTATATGTTACCAACAGGTCCCGCCACTGTCCCGCCCAGTCTCCAGTGCCCTAATCTCCTGCCTCATGACCGTGATCAAATGGGACGCATGGGTCCATTTCATAGTTTTCTCCAACAAGGCCACGGGGCCACCCAGAGAGTACTGGACGCCCCTTTCTTGCTAAATGAGTGACTTTGTGCCCCATCAGAATTGTCCCCGCTTTCTGGCAGCATCTGACACAGAACAGTGACTTCCTGAACCTCCCCTCAGCACCCAGCAGTAGCCTGAATCTTCTAACAGGTTTTGCCCCAAAGCACCTTACTGAGCTTCCAGTGGGTGCCCATGGCCTGCGTGTTTTCTCTTACTGCAGCCACCAAGAAATGCCGAATGCCCCACACCCGCTGCTGGCCCCTAGTCCCTGGCAAGGCCCTGGTGTCCTGGTGGGCAGGAGGCTTTGTGCCCCATGGTTCTGGGCAGGCTCCGTGCTCATGGGCCCAGGGGAGGAGACGGAAGCCTGGAGGGAGGTCCAAGGCTGGGAAGTGGCAGAGCTGGGCCTGGGAGCCGAGGTCGCGAGTGCCCAAGACAGCCGGATTCCGCAGGGAGTTCTTAAAATCCCATCCTCAGGACCTGTCGCCGGGCTGCTCTTCAAGGAACTTATCCTACCCTTTTGTAGAACAAGTTTGCAGGTTTGTGGACTCCTGTCTTGAAAGAAGAGTTTTCCGGACACACCAGGGGAAGGGTTTTCCATTAGGCAGAGATTTCAGGATGCACTTGAGAGTAGAGTACAGGTGAGCTCAGAAGAGAGGAGCACCGCAGTTTGGAACTGGGAATATTTGTGCGTTTTTGGCAGTGGAAATCTGTGGGATTTGATAATCTATAGCCTTGGCCTTGGTCTGCTGGGTGGGTAGGTGGGAATGGCCTGCTGACAAGATTATCTTTCGGTGTTTTGGGTAGTGGTCTAATTTTACAGGTGAAGAGGTGGGTCTTTGATGGAAATCTGTGTGGTCTTTTTGTTTTGGTTTGTGAGACAGGATCTTGAAATGTAGTTCAGGCTGGCTTTACTATGTCGAACTCACGGTGACCCTCCTGCTTCAGCCTTCCCAAGTGCTACCTAGTGAGGTCAAGGGGAGCCCAAACTACATAGCCAGACCCTGTCTCAAAAGCAAAAACATCAATAACAAAATAAAATAAAAGAACTGGGCTTTGTTTGTTTGTTTTTGGGTTTGTTGTTGTTGTTTTTTGAGACAGTCTCACTATGTAATTGGAACTGACCTGGAACTGTGTAGCCCAGGCTGGTCTCAAACTCACAGCGATCCTTCTGCCTCGGCCTCCCATTGCTGGGATTCCAGGTGTGCACCACTACGCCTGGCTACTGGGCTTGTATCTTGAAGCTGCAGTTTCATTTTCCTTGTCTCTTCTGGCTTTTAATTCTTGTAGCCTACCAGAACCAGACTGCTACCGACCGTAGGGCAGCAAACACGGGATTTCACGAGGAGATACAGGTTCTCTGAAAGGTGGGAGCAGGTTCGGCGATGACAGTCAGACAAAAGCACTCAACACCGAGGTGAAGTTTGCCAATGCTGCTGCAATTTTATTTCTAACTCCAGGTGTTTATATACTAGTTTCAAGGGCACACCTCAAGAGTGATTTCAGGCACAGGCAGGCATGAGAAAGATAGACAGTAGTACTGTAAAAACTAAGACCACAAGGTCAAGTTAAGACCACACCTAGATACCATCACAAAAGCTAAAACCATTAATGCAAGGTAAGACCACACCTATACGCAGTCAGAAGGGGAAGTTTGTAAAACAAAGGACTGGCTTCAGCATGTCACCTTCAGGATCACCTTCAGGACTTCACAGTCCGGGGCTCAGGGTCAGCACTTTGGCCGCCCGTCCTCTTGTGCCTCAATACCTCCCCATCTCTAGGAACATCTAATTGTTCCTGACCTTTCCTGGGCCCAGAATACAATTCTACAGATAATGAACAAATAGTAATAAAGACAAAATAGAACAGAATTATAAATGAACCCAATGTCCCCAAACTGCAGGCGGAGAGGCCAGCTATTCTCTTCACGGCTGACTTCGCATGCGGTGTGTGCCAAGGACTTCCAGGAGGCTTAACCCCGTGGGGACGATACCTCGGGTCTGGTTTCTGCCAGGTGACCGGCATTGTCACGCAGACTCCACTGCAGTGGTCGTGGCACCAGACACCAAGTCCCCAGCCCAGCCCTACCTGTTTCTGGGAGCAGGGCTTGGGGCAGTCCTCCCAAGTTCACAGTGCACATCCCAGACGCCCTTGCGCCTCTGGGGACCTCAGCTGGTTCACATTCTGAGACTCAGCTCTGCTGCCTGTGGGGCTCAGAGAAAGAAGTGACTGGGGATGACGGGGGCATTGTGGGAAATAAAGCAAGAGGAGCCCTCTGTGCGGGCAGGACTCTTCCACGCCACTGCAGTGTGCACTTAGACTGCACACGACTGTGGGTTCGCTGAGATGAATCTCAAGGAACAGCTTTGAACAGGCTCAGAAGATGTGAGGCACGCACCCGGCCGCCCACAGTGGCGGGACTAGGACTTTCGGGTCTTGGGCCCCAGGCCACTTCCCTCCCCCAGGCCCTACTCTTGCTTTGGGTTTCAGGCTGCTGGACCCTTCCAGGACCCCAGCAGTGGCTGCTGCTGACCTGCCTGCTCTGCTCTGTCCTTGTCCCCAGGCTGTGCTGGAAGCGAGCTTTGTCCCTGCGGGTGGCCAACGAGCCCATTTTAGCCTTCACAAAGGGCACCCCGGAGCGAGAAGCACTTCTGAAGGTAACATGGTGGGGCCCGAGGGTGCAGGGCTGCAGGGAGACGCCCCCGAGATACGAGATACGGCTCCTTGCCAGGGGCCCTTGCCCTCTTGCCCCTGCCTTAGCCCTGGGAGGCAACAGGGGGCAGTCGGGTGGTATCTCAGGCCAGATCAGGCGTCATGTTGCACAGATGCTTATACTAAAATAACTTTCCAGTTAATTGCAGAAATTAAGCAAATCATGAGGTTTCATTTAAGTTTCAGATGTGTTTTATCTTGCTGTGCTGGGGAGACCAGGCCGCACCTCACCAGGGAGGAAGGGCTGACCTTCCTGCGGGGAGACCGAGGCTGGAGAAAAGTCCTTGGCGAGGGGGGGTGCATGCGTTCCCCAGACTCCAGGCCCAGCCCGGCCTCCTCACTGCCACCCTGCCGGGGCTGCTTCCGTGCCTAGACTCCGTGTTGGCTTCTGCGGGAGGAAGCTCGGCGGAAGGGCTCATCCACGCTCTCACCCTTCTCCCCAGGCCTTGAAGGACCTGAAAGGCCAGACAGAAGCCGTCCCCTGCGTGGTGGGCGACGAGGAGGTGTGGACATCGGACGTGCGGTACCAGGTGTCGGTACGTCCCTGGCTGGCTCTCTCCTGGTGTCGGGGTCTGGCCCCCTGGTGGCTGGGACGCACAGGACCCGCGCTGCCACCCCAGACTGCGAGGGCTGTGGATGTGCAGAAGTCACAGAAGCAAAAGGCAGTGTGGTCAGCCCCCCGAGTGCTGTCCACAGGCAGGATGGTGGGGGTGGAGGTGCACCATTATCCCTGCTGGGTCCCGAGGGCCGTGGGAAGCGGAGAGTGAGCAGGAGGCGGGGCTCCGAGTCCACCCAGAACCGGGCGTATGCTGCAGGCGGCCAGGAAACTTAAGGGGCTCTAATTTGGGGGAAAGGGAAGGGTTGGCCCTTCTGCAAATGGGGCTGTCATCCAGCTCCATGTGAGGCAAGCATGTGCTGGACCTGGTTCAGAGAATTTACACCCAAGATCCCACTGGGTCCTGATCTCCATACTGTGACGTGGGGGCGCAGTGCCCGTTCCCCGGATGAGGACACTGGAAAGAGGACATGAGCTTACACGAGGCTCAGGGCCAGAAGGCTCCAGAGCTGGGATTCGAACCCGTGTCTGAACAGTGCACACTTTCCCTGAAAGACTGTGTGATCTTTGGTTCCTGTCTTCCTCCCAGACTGTGACCCAGACACCGTGTGAGTGGTGATTGTGTCTCACTGTGCAGCAGCTGCTTACGACTTGTAGAGGGGGGACCAGGGTGGCCGGAGTCACTGGAGAAGACACTGGGGAAGTGAGGGGCGAGTGTGTCCAGGGCTCCCCGCTCTGCGCTTGGCGCATCCCAGCCTGTCCGGCCCCCCCCCAGCAGTGACCCCACTCTGCTCTCTTTCCAGCCTTTTAACCACCGGCACAAGGTAGCCAAGTTCTGTTATGCAGACAAGGTGAGTCCCACTGCTGGCCGGAGAGACCTTGACCGCCGCTTCTCCCTCTGGCCCTGTGGGCTGGATTCTCTGGGCAGTCTGACGGGGCCGGGCATGCAGCCAGATGAGGGCCGCCCTGGCCAGGGCTGGGCTGTGTGCCGTGCCCACTGCGGTGGGGCAGACCTTCGTCTCCAGAGGGGGGTGGGCAGCTGGAGGAACAGATAAAAGCCAGGCAGGGGGCGAGGTGCCCTGTGACAGTGAGGGCGGCTGGTGCCTCGGGGCAGAGGGCTCAGGGCCCACAGGCCCTGGGAATGAGGTGGGTCCTTGATTAGACCGAGAGAGTCTGGAGCTGCGCCTGCTGGTCAACCTGGCAGTTGCTCAGGCTGCAGATTGACCCCAGGATGTGCTCTGAGCTGGGGCCTGCCCAGCCACCTGTGGGACAGGGGCCGAGGGCCGCGGACCCGGGCCTTCCTGTGCAGAGTGGCTTCCCCGATCTCCCCTCCCTGCTCCCTCCCCTGAGCTGTTCTGTTGCAGGAGGGAGCCTGACCACTTCCTCTCCCATCAGGCCCTACTCAACAAGGCCATCGAGGCCGCCTTGGCTGCCAGGAAAGAATGGGACTTGAAACCTGTCGCAGACCGGGCCCAGATCTTCCTGAAGGCGGCAGACATGCTCAGCAGGCCTCGCAGGGCTGAGATCCTTGCCAAGACCATGGTGGGGCAGGTGAGTTTTACCCCATCCCTCTGTGAGCAGACACTGGCTGGGCAGCCTGTGTCACTGGGCCCCGTTAGAGGCCCAGGGGTGCACACAGGGACCGGGGCCGGAGCCAGGACGGAGGGACAGGAATGGCTCGACGGGCTGTGCTAAGCCACATTCCTGGCCCCTCCTCTTCACCTCTGTCCCCGCCCCGGGCCACCTGTCCTGGATGGCAGTGCCCCCAAAGTCTCACTGATTCCCACTGCGTCAGACCTCTGTGCCCTCAGGGCAGGTCGTTCCTCGCTTGCAGACCCCCAGGGTCCCTCAGTCACGAGAGGGGAATGAATCCTGTATCCTCAGCCTGACCTGGGCCTCCTGCCCAGCCTCTGTCCACTCCCAGCTGCTCTGTGCCCACACCGGGCTGTCTGCCCATTGTCACCGATGAGACTTCCACTCTGCCACTGCCCAGGGTGCCCTCCCTGGAGTGAGCTCTTACCGTCCGCTCAGCCTTCTGCTCCTCCTCCTGAGGCTTCCAGAACTTTCCCCGGCCACCGGGGTTTGTTCTGCTCTGTTCCCAGAGCTTGCTGTTCTGGGTCACGGCTCTGACCGCACCAGGGTGTGCTGAGCTCTTACGTTGTGATTTTGTTTTTTGAGACCGGGGCCCATAACATTCTGGATGTAAATGTTCTGCTAGCATGTCCATTGCATCCAGGGTCAAGGAGTCTCTGAAACCCATGAGAAATGATTCTTGAGTGAATGAGTGTGTATCCAGCGAGTGTGCTGGCCACCCAGTGCACTGGGAAAGGAGCCAAGGGTGCAAGGGTCAACTTCACCATCTCCAGGAACTGAACCGTAGGGTCCTGAAGAGCCAATTGTGGGAGCCAGACCCAGGCTGCCTGTTTCCCACCTGCTCCCCGTTCCCATTGCTGGAGCGCCCTCTGCTGCACGGAGATGGGATGACAGTTCCATACCCTACCGGAAGCGTCTGGCTTTAGAGTTGTATTTGGGCAACTTAGCAAGACTGTCTCAAAATGAACACAATAAAAAATTAAAAAATAAAAATAAAAAGGGTTGGAGACGGAGCTCAGTGGAAGTACCTTTAGATTCAATCCCTGCTCCAGAAAAAATAAAAGAGATTCAGGAGCTCGAAGGCTGCGCGTCGCACACCCTGGCGCAGCGTCCTTGGCCCGGCGTCCCTCGCAGGGTGTGCGCCCGTCGTGGACCTCGTGTGCCAGGGAAGGGCCCGCCGCCATCTGGAAAAGCCCCTATTGGCCGGCAGAGCCGCTTCCTTCCTCATGGCTCTCCCTGGCCACCGGGAGGAGAGGAGCAGGGACAGCTAAGGGGATCTTGGTTGCCGTCTCCGAGTCCTTGGCCTGCAGTGACTGGCGGGGCCGCATCCCGGCCCCAGGGAAGCAGCCGTCCGCGGGCTGCGCACGATGTCCCGACCTTGCTCAGCCCCCGAAGGCTTCCCGACCTCGCTGGGGCCGGGCTCTGTGCCCCTGTGGCTCTTCCGTGGCCGCTGAGCCCAGCCCCGTGCTGCAGGGTAAGACGGTGATCCAAGCTGAGATCGACGCCGCTGCCGAGCTCATCGACTTCTTCCGGTTCAACGCCCAGTTTGCAGAGCAGCTGCAGGGGGAGCAGCCCATCAGTGTGCCGCCCAGCTCCAACCGCGTGGTGTACCGGGGGCTGGAGGTACTGTGGGCCGAGGGGGGGCTGCGGGGCTGCGGGGCTGCGGGCCTCGGGCCTGGCCTCACAGCCTCCTCCTCCCCAGGGCTTCGTGGCGGCCATCTCGCCTTTCAACTTCACCGCGATCGGTGGCAACCTGGCGGGGGCACCGGCCTTGATGGTGAGGACGGCGGAGGCTTGTCCCACACCTGCCCGCAGCCTGTCTCACCTGGTCCCAGCCGACAGAGGCCGGCAGGGCCCGTCATGGAGGCTCGGGACGTGGATAGGCTTTCGAGTCTGGTGCCGGATTTGAATCTCAGCTTTGCCCCTGGCTGGCTGACCTCAGTCAGACTTCTGGGGGACACAGTGACCTCGTCTGCAAAGTGGGAGCAGTGGGGAGCCCATGATACAGGGTTGGGAGACCTGCCGAGGTCTGGCCCAGAGCAGCCGGGGGTCTGGTAACTGTCCCCCACCTGGCACTTGTGCGGGGGTGGCCTTCCTCAGCCCTCTCAATGACTGTGAGAGGAAAGGCCGCAATTATGTGTCCGGCTGGTGAATGATGGAGCAGATTTGAGCTTAGTTTGTCTCAGGGCTGGGGCCTTGCAGTTACTGGGCCCCAAGGCTGTTATCTGAGTGGAGTGGAGGTGGCTGTCCCTGTGTGAGATCCCTGCAGACAGCCTGGGCAGGGTCGGGTTGACACGATGCTGGGGAGGCCTGGGCTCCAGGCGGGCCGCTGGATGCCGAATTAGTATTAGCTGCAGGATATCCTTGTGTTTGCACCTGCAGGGCATACGCACACGTGCCTGTGGTACACGTGCCCGACCCCGGATGCGTAAAGAGCCCGTGGGCAGGTAGCACCTGGAACGGCAAAGAACTGATCTGCCCAGGGGAAAGGGCAGGACGAAGGGACGCAGGCTCTGGAGAAAGGAGCCCCGGCCAAGCATGGCCCGGTGCACCTCTGGTGGGGATTCCGGACACACCACGGACCCTTGGGGAACAGGGCTGGCTCCCAGCCTTGTGAGTCATGTCACACTTCCAGGGCAACGTGGTCCTGTGGAAGCCCAGCGACACGGCCGTGCTGGCCAGCTATGCTGTGTACCGCGTCCTCCGGGAGGCCGGCCTGCCCCCCAACATCATCCAGTTTGTACCAGCTGACGGGCCTGTTTTTGGGGACACCATCACCAGCTCAGAGCACCTCTGCGGCATCAACTTCACAGGCAGTGTGCCGTAAGTCCCTGGGGGTGGGGTAGTTTGGGTTTTACCGGCGATGGCCCTCCTTTGTGTCGCTGGAATGATTTCATGTAAAAATCCCGTGTCGGCTTCTCTGAGAACCCGAATGCTCTGGTCCCCAGGCCTGCGCTTCCACTTGGCGCTGTGGGCTGATGCAGGGCTCTCTCTCCCCACCTGGCTCTGGGCCTCTACTAATGGCGTTTTCTGCCTGGTGCCTCTCGGCCCCTACCTTTGCACCTTTGTCCTAGGTGCTGCTCCCTGCTCTGTGAGGGAGGAGCCTCTGTGACAGGAAGTAAGCTGTGGGCACCCAGGGAGGGACAGTGACTCTGACTCAGGGTGGAGACAGCAGGAACGCACTGGACAGGGCAGGCGAGAGCATGGCAGGGAGGTGCATGGCCAGTGCCTGTCCACAGGGCCGGGTGGGCAGGGAGAGGTGATGCCCACGTGCCCAGGCTGGGGGCCGAAGGGAGTTAACCCGGATGAGCCAGCCGGGAGGAAGATGAGCTGTGTGCCTGGAGGTGTCCAGGTGTGCAGCTTGGGGTCCTTCTGGTCCCATTGGGCACCTGCATGGCTTCTCCCCGCTCCCTCTTGCAGCCTCAGGCCCTACCGCACCCTCCCTACCCCTTGGGGTTGCGGTGGCAGCGATGGCAACTTGAGAGTTGCTGAGAGGTCATTTTCCAGCCTCTGGCAAGGCTGAGTGGGCCTGGGCCCTGCTTGCCATGCTCTGCTGAGCAGTGGCTGAAAGGTAGGAAAGCCGTAAATTAGTATTAGCTGCTGTGTCGGGCTCCTGGGTGATTAGCATTTTTATTGTTTGTGGTGCTGAGGTCGGTCACAGTTGGAGCCCAAGCCCAGAGAGGAGGCAGGACCTCCAGGCGGCAGCTTGGGCTGGGCTGTGAGCACTGTCTCCAGGATTCTTCTCAGCTTGGCCTCTCAGGCCCAGGTGCTGGGCCGGTGGGTTGGGGTTGCCTCTCTACCCCGGCAGTGTGTTTTCCCCGAGTGTGCCCTGCACAGGCCTCAGCTCTGGATTCACATTGGAGCCAATCGTGGAGCAGCCCTGCCTCCTGGGCCTTGTTTCCCAGTTAGTTCCTAGGTGAGGTGAAGGATGTGAGGCTCAGAGAGGTTAAGTAGTGAGCCCAGGATCACACAGCCCTGCGTGTCTGAGTCAGGATAGAGCCCAGTACCTTGAGTCTTCGAGGCCTCAGTCTTGCTACCATCTTGCCACCCAGTCTGTCCTTCCCGGCTGCCCCTACCTACGAGTCCCCCTCCACTTCTGTGACCCCTTCCTCTGTGGAGCTTGCTGTCCGTGTCCCGGCCTCACCCTCCTACACATCTGAGAGCAGCTCCTGACACTCTGTTTGTCTCCCGGTTCCAGCACCTTCAAACACCTGTGGAAGCAGGTGGCCCAGAACCTGGACCGGTTCCGCACCTTCCCACGCCTGGCTGGAGGTGAGAGTCCCCTCGCCCCTCGTCCTCTGGTTCCAGGGTCCCCACACTGCCTGGCAGCAGTGACAGAGCGGCCTGCACCTGTACTGGCCTCTTAGCACCCCAGCTGCTTGTGATCGAGGGGTCGAAAGTTGGCTTCTTTGGTTTTGTCAAATGTCCGCCAGCCACGGGTGGAGCGCACTTTGGGAAGTGCCGAGCCGTAGAGGGAAGGACCCGGGTGGCACGGCACGTGGGGCACAGCTGGGCTGGCGGCTGTGGGGAGAAGGCAGGCGGTCAGCCACTGCTTCCCCAGGGCACCACGGACGGCTGGACCGCGGTTTGGGCTGCGAAGCCAGGGAAGCCCCCCTTCATTAGCTGCCCTGTTCCCCGCAGAGTGCGGCGGGAAGAACTTCCACTTTGTGCACCGCTCGGCCGACGTGGGCAGCGTGGTGAGCGGGACCCTGCGCTCGGCCTTCGAATACGCCGGCCAGAAGTGCTCCGCCTGCTCTCGCCTCTACGCGCCCAGCTCGCTGTGGCCGGAGATCAAAGGGCGGCTGCTGGAGGAGCACAGCAGGATCAAAGTGGGCGATGTGAGCGGCCCAGCGGGGGGCTGATGGGACTGGGGCTCAGCTGTCGGAGCGAGCCGGGAGGGGCGCGTGGGCAGGCGTGTAGCGGGCCGCCTCTCCTCGCTTGCAGCCCGTGGAGGATTTCGGGACCTTCTTCTCCGCAGTGATCGATGCCAAGGTACGGACAGGAAGTGGGCGTTCCCCGGGGTCTCAGCCCTGGATTAGAAGGAGGGCTCGGGGGTCCCTCACCCTGCTGCTGTGAGCACGGCGGCTCCCCTGCACACAGGCGGGCCCACACGCACACACACGCGCTCGCAGATGCAGGTCCGCCCGAGCCTGGCCCTGTTCCGGGAACACGGGCTCTTTGGGCGCGGGTGTTCTGGGGTCGGCTGTGTCGGGAGCCGCTGCTGCTGGCGCTCTGCTCCCAGCCTGTGTGGCGCTCGCTCTCCTCGCCTGCTGCAGTCCTTTGCGCGCATCAAGAAGTGGCTGGCGCATGCCCGCTCCTCGCCCAGCCTCTCCGTCCTGGCTGGGGGCGAGTGTGATGACTCCGTGGGCTACTTCGTGGAGCCCTGCATCGTGGAGAGCACGGACCCGCACGAGCCCATTATGAAGGAGGTAACCGGGGCGGGCTGCCTGGGCCCAGGCGAGGACACTCGCAGGAGCCCAAGAGGGCACGGCGAGGGCTGTTCTTCCCCGTTGTCCCATTTCACGGAGGAGTGAGCGAGGCCAGGACTTCAGCTTTCAGGACCTCGCCCAAACCCAGCGCCCTGTTCTTGTCGCTGCTGACCCGCCCCCCGTCCTAGCATTGCCACTGCTCATGGCCACCCCAGCAACTGGGCAGCCATGATGGCAGCCTTCCCGCTGTGGGCAGCCATAGCTGGCATCGGCCAAGACCGCGTGGCGTCGCCAGGCCCACTTGAGGAAGCAGAGACCAAGGCCCCGAGAGGTCGAGGCGCTTGCCTGGGGCGGCAGTGTGGGGCTAGGCTCTTCTGCCAGCCCTTGGTGGTGGAGGGGACTAGGAGGAGGCACCAGCCAGTACCAGGAGCCTCCCTTCTCCAAGGCCCGGCCCATTTCCTCTCCAGGGCTGGGTTCAGCAAGGAGGCCAGAGCATGCTGGATCTGTGGGGCCGCAAGCTGGGCACCCCACTGTCCCCAGGGAACCCTGGAGGAAGCAGTCTGTGGCCGAAGTGTGGACAGAGGTCCGGGGATGGGGATGAGGGAGAGGGACACAGAGCAGGGACTCGGGGACGCTGACCATTGCTTCTCTCAGGAGATCTTCGGGCCTGTGCTCACGGTGTACGTCTACCCGGACGACAGGTACAGGGAGACCCTGCAGCTCGTTGACAGCACCACCAGCTACGGCCTCACGGGGGCAGTGTTTGCCCAGGATAAGTGAGTGGCTGCCTCCCAGAGCCTTCATCCCTGTGGCCCGTGCCTGTCTGTTCCCAGCCCATCCTCCCCTCCAGGCCACAGCTCCTGGCATTAACACCACCCCTGCTTTCTCTTGGTTCCCTCTCAGCCCCGACAGGCAGGCAGATGGGCCAGCAAAGGGCACACAGCCCTGGGCTCTTTGTTAGAAGTACAGACCCTGGGACCCCCTGGTGACTCCTGAGTGGAGCTTTTGATCAGCTCCCCGTGAGCTGCCGGCCACCCGCATGCTGCAGCACGAAGCGGCGAGCCTGGCCCCTGTCCTCCCATCCGACCTCAGAGTGGCCATGTGATAGAGACCTTCGTCCCAGAAAGGAAGCAGAGGCCGGGGCTAAGTAACCTGTCCAGGACCCACCGCTAGCGGCTGGCCACTGTCACTTTCCCCACACGTGGCCCCTGATTAACCCAGAAAGCCAGTGTGGCTGGGCCTGGTGTTGGAGGTTAGACCCGGGACAGCAGGGGCGTGCGGGCCGGGTGCCCTCTTATGGCTGTCTCACCTCATAGGGACGTCGTCCAGGAAGCCACCAAGATGCTGAGAAACGCTGCTGGCAACTTCTACATCAACGACAAGTCCACTGGCTCCGTGGTAGGCCAGCAGCCCTTCGGGGGGTCCCGAGCCTCTGGTGAGTGGATTTCTCCCTCCAAGGGGGCCGTCGGGAAGAAACCCTAGCCTTTGTCTCAAGGGTTTTTAGAGAAACAGGACTGGCACCAGCACTGAGCCCCGACCGCAGGCTGGCAGGCCTGCTGCCCTGGAGCCCTTCGAGGCATTTGCCTGGCTAGTGAAGGTGCCCTCCTTCCCATTTCACGGGGAGGAAGCTGAGGCGCAGGGGTTGTAATTTTGGCTCCAGCACTCACACCCTCCTGCCACGCTTAAGATTACTCAAGACCAGGACCCTCCACATCACACACGGGAAGACAGGCTCAGAGGGGCCGACGACCTTCCTTGTGGCGGAGCCCAGGCTGAATCCGGCACACGGGGTCCCCTGGTTCTCACCCAGGTCTCACCTGGTCTGTCTGGGCGTTGCCCTCCCTCTGACACAGCTCCCAGGGGGGCAGAGATGCCCAGATTCAGGGCTCAGTCCCACAAGATGCCCCCCACTTCAGGTGCCAGTTGCAAGCAGTGGCTCCCCAGGTCCCCACACTTCTGCCCAATGTGGCTACAGAACAGAGATTCCTGTGAGCTCCCTGCAGGCTCTGTAATTTATTGGAATGGCTTAGGGAAAGCTGACTTGCTGTTATTGATGTATTTACAAAAGAGAAATAACTTCGTTTTGGATTTCATTTAAATTAACTGCTTTTCTTTTTCCTGGTACTCGGAATCAAACTCGGGACCTTGTGCTTGCCAAGCAGGCGTAGCACGCTGAGCTGCACTCCTGGCCCTTACATTAATTTTTTACACTCATTCACAGGCATAAAAATGGTACATATTAATGGGGAACCTTGGGATTAGATACACGTATGCATTGTGTGGTGTTCAACTCAGATATATCTATCTTTTCAAACGTCTGTCATGTATGGTGTCAAAGTTCAAAATCCTTTATTTTAGCTTTTTGAAATGGGTACGGTGCAGTAGTTACCTGTAGGCACCCAGTGGCTGCATTACAGCGCAGTGCCTGGCTCCTAACAGTAACTTAGTGTCCACCGATAGCCTCCCCAGCCTCCCCACCCCTCCAGACTTCCCACCTTCGCTCTCAGTTTGTAAAGATGAACCGCTGCCCTCCGCATGCCTCAGTCAGATCATGCGGTCCTTGTCTTCCTGTGCCTGGATGATTGCGTTTAGGGTAGTGATCTCCAGTTCCGTCCGAGTGCTTGTAAATGGCGGAGTTTGTTTGTTTTTCACGGCTGCATAGTGTTCACATTTTCTGTGTCACATTACCTGTGTCCATTCTTCGGCTGGTGACTTAGGTCTCCTTCTTCCTGGCTCCCGGGCTGCGGTGAGCCGGAGAGCGCCAGTGTCTCCGACATGCTGATTTCATCCGCTTGGGATATGCGTGGAGTACAGGGATTGCTGGGTCCGAGCAGTCCTGTCTTTCATAGAGTTTTGCGCAAGGTCTATACGAAGTGACGCTGCCCCCCGAAGTGTGCAGGCATTCCCTCTTCCCCACGTCTTTCTCGGCTCTTGTCATCACTTGCCTTTTGGATTTTAGCCATTCTTACTGGAGTGAGCCAGTATTTAATACTGGTTTGGATTTGTACCTTCTTAATTCTTAGTGATGTTGAACATTCTTTTCACGTACCTGTTGGCCTTTAGTGTATCTGCTTTTGAAAAATGTCTATTTAGAAAAAAAAAAAGAAAGAAAAATGTCTATTTAGGTAAATGGCTCATTTAGAAATTGAGTTTTTTTTAGTTCCTTCTGTCCTGTAGACAAAACTCCTTGTCAGACATATAGTTTGCAGGTATTTTTCTCCTTCTGTTGGTTGCTTTTTCACTCTGATGTTTATTTCCTTTGTTGTACAGAAGCTTTTTCCTTCATTTAATTCTATTTGTCTGTTTTTGTTTTTCTTTCCTGTGCTTTTGGGATCTCATCCAAAAAAAAACCCTTGCGCGTTCAGTGTCCTCAAGCACTCCCTGTTGTTTTCTGAGAAGTGTCGTAGTTTTGGGTTTTATATTTAGGTCCTCAGTTCCGGTAGAGTTGTCATCCTCCTGCGCAGCAGTGTCCAGTTCTCCCAGAACCGTTCATTGAAGGACTGTTGCCGGGGTGGTGGGGAGGGGTGGCGTTGGGGTTTAGCTCAGTGGTGCTGCTGCCTGCCTTGCAAGCTCAAAGTCCTGAGCTCTATCCCTGGTACCCCCCCAAAAAAGATGGCCGGCTGTGGATGGTGGGGCTCATTCTTAGGCTCTCTGTTAGTTCCATTGGTCTGGGTGTCTTTTTATGCAGTTTGATAGTGTTTTTGAAGTTTGGTAGTATAATGCCTCCTGCTTATGTTGTTTTGTTGCTGAATATTACATTGGTTGTTCAGGACTTTTTATTTATTTTATTATTTATTTTTGGTACCGGGGGTCGAACTTGGGTCTTTGCACTTTTGAGGCAGGCACTGGAACCACTGAGCTAAATCCCCGGCCCCGGGACTATTTATTTGCACACAAATAATGTCCTTGGTGTTTTGATAAGAATTGCATCTAATCTGTAGTTGACTTTAGGCAGTACAGACATTTGAACAGTGTTGATTCTTCCAGCCCATGAACACAGGGTGTTTGTCCTTTATTGTACCTGTGTGTGTGCGCGTGTGTGTGCGCGCGTGTGTGTTGTGTATTCAGTTTAATTTCTTTCATCAAGGTTTTATAGTTTTCATTGTAGAGATCTTTGAGCCCTTTGGTTAAACTTTTTCCTAGACATTTAAAAACTTTCATAGTTACTGTGAGTGGGATTGATTTTTCAATTTCTATTTTAGATAATTTCCTATTGGGTCTGTAGTAATGCTACTGATTTTCACACACTGGCCTTATGTTCTGCAGCTTTGCTTATTAGTTTTAATACTTTTTTTGGTGGAGTCTTTGGGGTTTTCTTTATCTAAAATCATATCTTCTGCAAGCAGTGACAGTTCAATTTCCTCTTTTCCAACTTGGGTGCCCTTTATTGCTTTCTCTTTCTGTGCACTCTGGCTAGGACTTCCAGTACTATGTTGAATAAAACTGGTATCAGTGAGAATCCATTTTCATTCCAGATCTCAGAGAAAAAGCTTTCAACTCTTCCCCATTGAGCCTGAGGTTGGCTGTTGGCTTATTAGATAAGACCTTTGTTATATTGAAGTATATCCCTTCTATTCCTACTTGGTTCAGAGTTCTTATTATGAAGGATGCTAGATTTTATCAAACGCCTTTCCCATGTCTATTGAGACAATCGTGGGTTTTGTCCATTCTGTTGACGTGTTATATTATGTTTATCGATTTGTATTCATTGAATGAATTATTCTTTCATTTCTGAGATGAATCCCACTTGATCATGGTAAATAATTAGAGTCAGTTTGCAAGTATTTTTGTTGAGGATTTTTAATGTTCATCAAGGTTATTGGCCTATAGTGTTTTGTTTTTGTTTTGGTTTTTTGAAGCAGAGTCACCTTTTGTAGTGAGTTCACTATCTATCCCAGGCTGGCCTGGAACTCACAGCAATCCTGGTGCAGCCTCCTAAGTGCTGGGATTACCGACATGCACCACCACACCTGGCTTTGTTTTTCTTGTAGTTGTTGTATCCTTGTCTCTTTTGCTCTCTCTCTTTTTTTTTTTTTT